AAAGGTCGTGCAGATCAGTGAGCTCTGTTGGTGTCTCGACTGCTATTATTTGCACTCCATGACTTGAGGCTTTTAGATTCGATTGGAGTGCCTACCTCAACTCACCGTCACATTTTAATCCGTAATACTTTATTTTTATATTTTTAACCACCACTCTATTTCTTCGTTCCCAAACAAGGTTTCGAACAGAATGAAAAGGCAACAAAATTACAGACATAAAATTATTTCTAAGCACCATAAATTAGTTTGATTCCAAATTTTTCACTTCCTTCCACAACAATACGGAACGTAACGGCATTGTGCCCCAAATCCAAGAGTAATTTTGATCGATATTTTTCTGTCTGAATGGACGTGAATTACCCCCGGGGAGCTCCAATTAACGAAATCTCCAACATTTCGTCGGGTCGGGTTAGTTCCGCCCCCGCCGCCACCATTAGGCGATGTCACTGCGATTCTCCTTGCCGGAAACCGAAAATCGCGATCCGAACATTTTCCTATCAGGAGTGATTTTCCGCTTAATCACTCAAAGGTATCCAGGTCAGATAGGGGTTGTTTCATCCCCGACCTCGTGACCCTTCTTCTTCTTCTCTGAGACAAAGCCGCATGATTGGGTCGAATATCCATTTGTAATCAATTATATAAGTTGAATTGAGAACAAATTGTCCGGAATCAGACCACTTCCCCGCTTTTGTTCTGCGGTTCAATTATTCATCATTTGGGCAGCTGCTGGGCTCGTGGCCCATTCATTGTGTAATACCTCAGCGCATCTACGTGGATTCATCTTTTAATTTTTAAGGGTGAGATTGGCATTGTTTTTATAGCTTATTTGTTCTCTCTCAATTCTACAATTCTTCTCAATTCTATAATTGAAGGGTGTTATTCGTGTTATTTGATTTGTCACAATTTATACTGTACATTTTGATACTAAAATTAATGTTACTGATGTGGAATTCTAAATCGACTTAAATTAGTTAATAGTGGGAATTAAGCCTTATATTCTCACTGCTAATTTAGAAGGAGTGCCTCCTTCGTTATAACACTGGTTTATATATTCCTTACTAACAAAGAAAAGAAAATATGCGCCAAATTTGCTGATTCAAATTAAAAATTCACTTTTCCCTACAATACCCCATTGATGAATATCGTAAACCCAAAAATTCTGGGAAATCCACAATTGGAGGGAAAAGGGATTTCAGTCGCTAATTTTCCAATTAAAGTGCATCGCCGCTGTAGTTAGCCCGGTCCACCGAAATTGGCGAATTCCCAAAACCGCGGCAATCACTGATTACCTGTGGGCGTACGCTGCACGTCACTGCACCGCTCACTGAGCCCCAATCACTGACCTCTACCCAAACACTTGCTTGCATCCTGTACACTCTCCTGACTGCCAAATTGGCCAAATTGCCACGTACCCTCGTGCCTTTTAATTGCAGTTCGTATTAAATGCCATTTTCGGTTTAGCATTTTCGCGTACTTTTTATTGTATTCGGCCGCGGGCCGATTTTGATTAGCGGGGTCGGACTGATGGATTACAGGGGAGGTTGCCCTTGTCAAAGTCTTGTTACTGACTTTTGGCGGGAGCGATTGGTGGGGCAGTTAAGGAGGTAAAATTTGTTTTGTTTGAAATTGTGTGTAAAGGGGCACGAATATTATACATTAGAGAACTAAGACATCGGAGTAGTGTGATAGTTCCCACTTTAGTTTTTCAAAACATAAAATTAAAAACTAAACTGACTATTTTTTAACAACCCGCAATCCGATTCCCTTCGTACAATTACATAACACAAAAAACCGAGGGGAGCTTGAAAATGTAAAAAATCTTGTTTTCGTGTTAGTGTTCATATGTTTTTACTTTTCATCGATGGAATGTAAAAAACAAGAATTTTTAGGTTCAATTTGTAAATCTAACCATTAAGATTAAAAATCTTAAAAGCGCATGGTTTACCCCCTTCATAAAAAGTTGAAAATGACGTTAGGGGAAATTTCTCTCGTCGGCCAAAAATTAAGATTGTCCAAAAACATTTCTTAGTGAGTCTTCTACCTTGGTTCCCTATAACTCCCCATGATGTCTCCAAAACGTTAACATTCCTTTCAATCATTGCTCACAACTCCAAAAGTTTAACCACTTCTTAACTATATAATTACTTGTATCTTAACTAATGCCATTGAGTAACCGAGGTTGCATCTCTGCACGGTTGCTCACCCTGGTTGCATGGTTGCGGATGCTGACCATAGGATATGTGGAAGTTCCGTCCTGTGACGTAACACTCACATCCTAACGTAACGCTAATGAGCTATCGTTACGCTCTACATACACGAGCTTACGCTCCGAGACCACATATATGTGTTAATGTTATTGTATAGTTATCACGAGTTACACACTCCATTGTTACGTTACATTCTGTTGTCGGTGGACACGAGATTGGCAGTGTTTGTCTATGAGTCTTGAGTTATTGTACAATATTTTCAGGTCAAAAGACTATAGTCTGTATGATGGGATCTGTCTTTAGAGTTCTAACCCAATGTCTTCCAAGCCCTCCTTTGGGCAGTTCCCAGGTAGGCAGAGGGCCAGGAGACAGGTTCGTATACTAAATGGTAGAACTCCCATTCCTGTAAAAATTACGGTTTAAATTTATCGTGTTATTTTCCCCTACAAACCTCAGGAAGTAAAATAAAATAGGAATTTCAAATGGAAACCGGTTTTGATTGAAATTAGTATTTTTGATGGTCCTTATAATTCTTAACAAAATAGTGCAATCTCTCATTCCTGTAAAAATTAAGATTCAAACGTTAATGCAACTGTTGTGACTTTACATATTAAATATTTTATATTCTCTCTCATCGCTAACCCATGATAACGGTTGTTGACAAGCTAATGGGAGAAGGTATGTGTCAGATTGCTGATAATGTTATTTTAGCAATACCTAGATCTGTGCTTTTCACGACACATCATGGATTGATCATGGGATTGAGCATGAAAACCGGAAACTGAAAGTAATTGGTGGAATAGTGGGATTGACACAGAATGACATTGCCTTTGACAGGTTCTTTATTATAGCACCTAGCACCAGAAATGTCATGATTATGTGATGAGTTTGAAAACCGGTACAATGTTAACATGGATCCCATAAGGACTATGCACCACGAAATTTGGGGAAGCAAGCTAAACACAATACAGACGAATATGTAACTCTCTCTCATTGCGCTTTTGATGAAAGTGAAACCAAGCTACATACCTTGCATCTGAACAAGTTATGACCGAAAAGGAAGCAAATGATCAACCACGGTAGTACCATAGGACAAGAATGTTTTGAAACGTTTGTCCATCAGCACTTGGGTAAAGGTGAGATTTGCGTTTGGGATCGTATGAGTGAAGTAAAACTAATGACGTAGGCCTACAAGTAATTTGATGACGTTCAAGTCATCAAATGTGACAAAGGCAATATCTGTTTGCGATAAGGTAATTAAGGTGAAGGAATATGAAGTAGCCTACTGCATATGTTCATTATAACAGCTAGAAATCACCGAGCATGTTCGCGAGCATGTTCGCGAGCATGTTCGTGAAGGTGTTGGCGGCGAACATGCTCGCCCGTGTGTGGGGTCTGAGAGCCTTCGTACCGGCGGCTGAATTTTTATTTCAGGATTAATTTTGCCAACAGTGGCATTTGGAGGCTTCAGGTTGACTGAGGGAAAACCATTACCGGAACGATACAGTTTGCCGACATCGGCCTCGGTGGCATAGTAGGATAGAGTGCTGGGAACATGCTCGCCCGTGTATGGGGGCAAGTCGGCATATTGTTCTTGCTTGGGGAAAAGATGTGTTGCACTGAATTGAATGGATGTGCTGAGTGTAACAACATCCCATTAGAACAAGCAACAGATTTTGATGGTGAAAACAATGACTGTTTAGTTTATACATTTAGATATTTAATATCTGTATCTTATAATATGTTTAGTATGCGATGTACGTTTTGTTATTAAATATTTTAACTTCCGAGTACACTATTGTTCACAGTAATCTATTAAACAATTAGTCTGTAGTATCAATAAATACCATAGCCAGCTTTCATTATTAAACTGTCGTTCCATAAAAATGTGTCACCGTTCTATAAAATCTTTGGTAATTTTCACACGAATTAGCACAAATACCAGTGGCCGTTATACTGCTGTTATAGTTAAAAAATTTATCTTACAACTGGTTTTGTTCCTACAATGCCTAAACACAAAAAAAAATATATAATTATCATTGTAAAGAAAATTTATAAAATACCCCCGCCGCAGCAAACCTGCAGACTAAGCGAATTTCCATTAACCTGATTCGATTCACACTAAAATGCCTCCATAAAAATATCACATTTATTTCCTATTTAAATAGAATTAGTTTGACGAGTACTTAGGTTTGCTGCAACAGGGAGGGTAAAAGTGTCTTTTTTTGTAAAATATTAATAGTTTAGTAAGAAATGAAAGTATCCAATTTCGATCAAAATATGTTCATAAACAAGCAAACTACAAAAGTTGACTTATTCTCCATAAGAACAACATAGAAATTTTAAATTTAAATTTTTTTGGAATTTTCTCCGTAACCATTAGGCGCACAACAAAGCTTCAATATACTAAATTATTTGTTTTTTTTAAGCTATACAAAATGGTTTGGAAAGAAATTGTAAAAATTGGGAAATTCGCTAATAACCCTTATATCTTAATTTACAGTCACGTTTTTGCGACGTTTGGTAGCCATCTTGGATTGGGGCTGTATTTAATAATGAAAAAAATGGCAACAAGTAATTTTTTCATCCTAAGGTACACATTAACAGTTTTCAAAAGTTATTTAAATTTTAACAGGCCAGTCTAGCGAATGATACACACCAGCCCACACTAAGAATCAATAAACTCAGATAGCTATGACGATTATAACTACTAGCTGGACCACGGAATATCAAAAGGAACATAAAGTATAATACTGAGATTATTTACAAAATATTTTATTTTACATTATACAGTTACTTTGTACTCACATTATGATATGTTTAAAATCCATGTCCATGACTTCCGTGTTCACTAACGCCGTGGAATCCCTCGTCCCCTCCGAAGTGATGTTCCTCATGCTCATGATGCTTGTGGACATGGACCGGGATGTGAACCGGAACCTTGACTGGATACGGCACCTCCTTCTCCACCGGGTAGGGAACCTTCTTCTCTACGTAGACGGGGTAAGGCTTCTCCACAGGGTAGGGAACTGGCTTCTCAACTGGCACCTTGACGGGATAAGGAACTTTCTTCTCGACGGGGTAGGGCACATGTTTGACAACAGGAACGTGATAGGGGACAGGCCGGGGGACATGCACCTTGACCGGGTAAGGGATGTGTTTCTCTACAGGGTAGGGCACCTTCTTCTCTACGTAGACGGGGTAAGGCTTGGGCACATGCACGGGGTATGGCCTGTCAACTGGAACCTTCACTGGATAATGGATGGTCTTCTCAACTGGGTAAGGCTTAGGAATGTACTCCTTGACAGGGTAAGGCACTTTCTTCTCCACAGTCACCGGGTAAGGTTTCTCCACAGGGTAGGGGACCGGCCTGTCGACGTGCACCTTTACAGGGTACGGTACCTTCTTCTCCACGTGGACCGGGTATGGAACCTTCACCTCCTTCTGAATTGTGATGGTCTTCACCTCGTGGTGACGGTGTTTGCTGAAGTCGTGGCCTCCAAAGTCTTGACCTCCAAAATCATGTCCACCAAAATCATGTCCACCGAAATCGTGTCCACCAAAGTCTCCGCCACTGAAGTCGTGTCCTCCGAATTCTTCTATTCCTCTCTTGTCATGCTTCTTGTCGTCTTGCTTCTCTTCTGCCTTCTTCTCCACCTTTTTCTCCTCGGCGAAGACTACCGCCACCAACAGAAGGACCAGGAGATACTTCATGTCTGCTGCTGGACAGCTGAGTGTGCTGCCTGTGACGACCACTGATGGTTTTATCGTGCGTCGAGTGCGACCAGCGTGACGGTCTCCGGCTCATTCATGTAAGATGGTAATTATTACACATTACATCACTTGAGACACATGCAACGCTCTTCACTGTTTGTCCTAGTTCTTATTTACGATTTAATATGTCAATGTGTTCCGCATTCTTGGGTAACTAGAACCAAATAAATTTAATGAAATGTATAGTATACACTTGTAAATATTGAACCAGTAACTGTAATGTATTTATAAAATAATCATGGATAAGTTCATTACCACAAAATGTAATGGTTTTAAGTTCCGAATAGTTAACAATGAGAACTTAGACCGTTCAATCATCATTCGTGTTAAAATGTACAACGAATTTATTTTTCTTTGAATCAAAAATTTTACAAAGTGTAATTTTTTTTCAATTTGAATTAAAAATCCTAAAATTTGAGTTCAAAAATGTACATTTCTTTATTATTTTGAAGTAGGCTTTGGTAGTAGCATTGACGATAAAAACTAACTAATAACAGATTGTTTCCCTCATTGAGCTTTTAATGCTGAAAAGTTTGTTCGAAATTACGTCCTTAGCTCGCTGACTGGATGGGGTATCACAGAAGACCCAACCAAAGTCAGTCGTACACATTGAAACTTCCACGCCACAAAAGGGCGCGTGTTATATCTTTGGTCCAATCCGCGGATTATAAAGGTACGTTTACAAAGCTTGTCTCGCCGCTCTTGTCAATGGTAACCGATGTTTCGGCTGACCGCTGAAGCGATTCTGTCCGCTAGTTTGGCCCTCAAAGCTAATCCGTTAATGCACTCTAGGCCACCCCCGGCGTGGCGGCACCCCTAACATCGGGAAGCCTTTGGTTTTAAGTTACGAGGTTGAAAATAAGCTTCGGCTCATTCGGGCTCATTTAGGGTATCACGTTCCTTTCATCTCATTCACTTGTCACTTTTGGAGATCCTTCAATGGCGGAAATATTGTTAGAGTTCGTAATTAGGCTAGTGGTGATTGTTAAACCTGTTAACCATTTAAAACAACATATAATCGTTGAATCAATCTTTTACCATTCAATGTATAAGGTCCGGGAGATAAGCTAATGTAATGACAAGAAATTCTTTAATTCTTCTTTCAAACTCTTTCTTAACAGAAATTTACATTGAAGAGAAAATACAGATATTATTTTCCTAATCATAAATGATGGGTGAATGAATAGTGTCTTTGACTATCAATCCAAAGTCAATGATAGTGTCTTATTAGTTTTACAACAAATGTATTTCAGCCAAACTATTAACCACTGTATTATCTTCTGTCATTTACAACTTTCTCAAAAATGGCTAACGATCCCCAAACGAGAACCTAGTTTGAAAAATCGCTAAGTGGGCGTAAACGTTGACTTGCAACTTCTCGGAGGTCTGTCCGAAAAACAAACAATTTGCACCAATACTGTAATCTGTGTCCGCCGACTTGTCATTACTGGCCGCCACAGGCGCCTGGACGATTGACACGTCACTAACTGTATCTGACGCTGGTGATCTACTTTAACTTCCGACGAATTTTGTTGTCATCTGGTCCACTGCCAATGACCTTACATTACCGCCGGTAACTAGCCATCTATAAGATCTACTTTACCATCATTAACTATATATCGGTCCTCTACCGATGATCTATATTACCATCAATAACTAACCCACTACCAAAGAGTTTGGTTACCAAGTTCTAGTTCTTTGTCACTGTATAATTTTCATCACTAGAACTCTAAGATAATTTGCATACAACTACTACAATCATTAACTGGACCTTTGCTGACGGACTAAATTACAACAATTTCTTTGTCTCAACTGAATATCCCATTTCAGTATTTTAGACTCATCGAAGGCAATCTCATGCTGTTTTTATATATTTATTATTTGGAGGAAGTTCATTATCTTACTTAATATGCACATATTACCTGATATTTCCATTGCTCATCTAATAACTTATGAATCCATTGTTTATTTCTTAATCTATTTTCTTTTGTTCGTCGAAATTACTCAATAGCCACCAAAATGATGGGATGACCCATGTATTGGGTCAGTGGCCAAAAATAAAAGTCATTGTTTTTTTTGCGAGTGACCACCACGCTCGACCTGAAGACCACCTCCGCTCTCGACGTCCGTCATTTTGAAATAATAGATTTCTACCGTGAAATCATTATTACGTGCTTTTCTACACCCTGACAAACACTCCCTAACACGCTGTTTTGCAACATTCGTTTCAAGGAATAAGTGTATAAAAATTGTATTTTTTATACTGTTACTAAAACACTATCGGTGTGGATTATATAAAATACTAATTGGTTTGTAATAATATCGATTTTTTAATCGTAAAATAATATCGACTGTTTGCTAAATAAACCACCAAAGCTTAACTTGCAGCCATAAATGATTTCTCAAGAAATTATAAACGTTTTTTCTATAAACCTACACATATTTAATGCAAGGACCAATAGTAACAGGAGAGTGTATTTTTATAAGACCCAAAAGGTACTTTTAAAACAGTTTGTGATGGTCTAGGAAAAGCAGAAAGCCTGATATGATGTTTTTTATACAAAACGGCCAACCACCAGGGGGTGGTCATTCACTGGTGCACTCACCCTACTTTCCATGAGATTGTGCGGTCCCTGAAAGTAGTGATGAACAATATTTGTATTTTAAAAAGGAGAGGAGTTAAAGATGAATGTACATAGAATGATTCAGAATGAACGGAATTTCAGCCTACTGGATAAGATCAGCTAGTTCTCCAGACAAGCTAAAAGCTAAAAAAGCTTCGGACTAGTTTATTTCATTTCATTTCATTTCATTTCATTTTTATTTTCCACGGCAATGCCATTTACAAAATACAATCAGTTAAGATTATAATAGATTATATGAATACAAAATATTAAATTATAACAAAACAACATTTCATCAGCAATAACAACAATACAATCAATCAACAATAATAAACTATGACATAACAAAAACAAGGCAAAAAGAATGATAATAACAATGATAATGAAATGTGGTATGGTAGGATGTCTGAGTTAGATCTGTTGTGTTCTAATGTAAGTGGTGTAGTGCTGTAGTAGTAGTGTGAAGTCTGGTGTAAATCTGTATTTGGATGTGAAGTGTAATGTGGTGTGAAATAATTAAACGTGTAGGATTTTATGTTTAAGGGAGGCTAGACTGTCGCTGTAGAGGTCCACATGAGTTGAGAATTCGTTTCCTAGCCGTTGGAGTCGGATCATCGGACTATTACCCAGGTAGTTTGTTCTGTACTGCGCCCTGAAGAAAACATCTGTAGACCTGGTACCGCCTGGAACTCGAAATAACAGCTTTTCCAACAGCTGAGAAGAGTCAATTTTACCATTGATCAGTTTTAACAAGAAAGCCAGGTCCGCAACATCTCTTCTCTTGGCCAGAGTATGGAGGTTCAGCAGGGACTCAAGTTCTTCAACTGGGACGTCTCTGTAGTTGTAGCCACATCTAACTCCCATCATTCTTGCAAATCTTCTCTGAATTCGCTGTAACCGAGAAACGTAGATGTCATGGTAAGGTTTCCAAACCACCGAAGCATATTCCAAAATCGGGCGTAGGAGTGTCTTGTAAAGGGTAGTTAGAGTTGTTATTGAAAATCCATTTCTTGACACTCTGAAGATCAGACCGAGGATTCCACAAGCTCTCCTGCAGATTTCATCTACGTGGTGCTCAGGCGTAAGGGAAGAATTCCAATAGACTCCGAGGTCTTTAATTACGTGGCACCGGCTCAGGGGAGTACCATCCAACCGATAATCTATATGTACAATAGTTTCACGTCTTGTAAAGGATATTACATTGCACTTAGATACATTCAGGTACATCAAATTCTGCTTGCACCAAGACTCGATGCCAGCGAGAGTTCTCTGCAAAGATTCACCATCACTAACATTTCTGATCGTTTTAAATAGTTTTATATCATCGGCAAATAACAGGTATTCGGACTCAATTACTTCCCCTATATCATTTACAAAGATGTTAAACAGACAAGGCCCCAAGAGAGATCCCTGGGGAACCCCTGATAAAACTTTCATGGGTAGAGACTCAGCATTTGCAAATCTGACTATCGAGTGTCTATTCCTCAGGTAGTTGTCAATCCACAAAAGAAGTTTGCCAATAATGCCATAGGCCTTCAGTTTAGCAATAAGATGATCGTGGCTCACTTTATCGAAAGCCTTACTAAAGTCGAGAAACAAGGCATCAACTTGGGCTCTATTATCAAAGGATGAATATATGTATTGCTCAAAGGTAATTAAATTTGTTACTGTAGACCTTCCCATAGTAAACCCGTGTTGTTCTTTAACTATGAGACTTCCAAGTAGAGGTCTGAGTCTATCTAGGACCAAAGATTCAAAAGTCTTAGCAATGGGTGACTGGATGGTAATTGGTCTATAGTTACTGGCCTCAGACATATCACCAGCTTTAAAGATTGGAACAATGTAGGATGTTTTCAAGGATGAAGGAAAAATGCCCTGGCTCAGGCTGTGATTGAATAGCTCAGAGATAATCCCACAAAGAGGTTCACTGCATTCACGAAGAACAATAGCAGGTATGCCATCTAGACCACAGCCCTTAGCGACATCAAGTTCTTCCAACTTCTTCCTCACCTCTTCCGGTGATGTCTGGACACAAGCAATAGAAATGCTAGAGGGTTTATCAGGATAATCAGGAACGACAGATGGAACATTGTTATAGACACTAGCGAAGTGGCGGGCGAAAATGTTGGCCATAGTTCTAGGATCTGATGATTCCTCAGCACCCAGTTTGATTCTAGTTGGGATGGATGTTGACTTCTTCAGTCCGTTCACATAACTCCAAAATATCTTGGGATTGGTAGGAATAACACTATCTACATGTGCAATATACGATCTATAACATTCCACTGACATGGATTTACATGCAGACCGCACCCTAGAAAAAGCCATGTAATCACTGTGCAGTTTAGAATCGAACCCATGATCTTTTGATTACCAAGCGAATTTTATACACACTGATATCCAACTACTATCCTGTAACTTTTTGTAATATATTACATTACATATTTTTTTGTGTATGTGTCTTCTAAGCCAATTTATTTTTACGTTTTAAAATGGAACGTTCTAAACCCTTATCTCGTTACTAATAAATAACGTCGACCTTTTTGTTGGATAGCATCACTAAATTCATACATTTCAACACCGTCTCATCATGTTTATTTTAAGGTGAAAGATTATTGTGTAGTTAACGGGAGTACAGTTATGTTTCTAAAATCAGATGATGTACTGTATTTCCATCACTAACTAATTAACGTAAAGGGATTTTGGATGCTATGCTTTTTTCATTAGTTGTCTTATTTCATGCATGTTGGTTATATATTCTTGTTTATACTTTCTATTGTATGTAATTTATTATTTTAACTTTCCTATTATTGTTTTGTGCAAGTTGATAGAAATAGAATAGAGACACTACACTGTTCAATGTACCAAATACTCAATGAATAAATATTGTTTGAATTTCAAATTAAAATCATCTGGTTCTTTCAATACTCAGTTAGGGCCAGGAAACCAAAGTCTAATCAAGGACATCAGTGTCAATTTTCACTAAGCTTTAGACTTTTTTCGCCTATCCTCTGATTACACTAGAAAAGCCTAGCTACTCAGCAGCTATTGTGTTACTTTCCACATCTACACATGCCCCTACATTGTTGTACACCCTACAGTCCCCCACACGTGCTCTCCTGTCGATGTGTCTCCCAGTAAACTCTTCACATAACGAGAGGTGGCGTATCAGTAGCACATGTTCTGATTTGTGCCCCGGACCCCAGCACCGGGTCGGGCCCCGCTGGCCAACTGTGCCAGTCGCGTGCCATCAGCTGCTCCCCCTCTATTGTTCCTGTCTCCAATTAACTATTTATATCCGCACTGTAAGGACCGGAACGATAACAACAAATTATAATCTCAAACGAGCTGGTCACGTTGAAAACGTTGAGTTGTTGAAGTTATTGGATAATGAGTAGCGAAAACGTCTCGGAAGTTGCCAGTGGTGTTATTTGTAAAGAGACTTTGTAAGTGTTTATCTTTTGACACCATTGTGATAGTTTCGTCAATTTGGTTCTACCGTAGAACCTAGATAACAAGACACTCATGGGTATTATTAAATTTGAATTGTCACCAATGTTGACTTCTTATTGAGGTTTGCAATGAGATGAGATTAGGGGTAAAATAGATTCAAGGGTATTTGACACTTGTTATCAAGTGTGACTTGTTATCGAGGGTCTTGTTACCAAGGTTCCAGGGTATTTTGTTACGGTGCTCTCCATATAGATGTAAACTAGCAGAGTACCCGTCCTTCGTACGGGGTTGTCATATAAGTTTAAAATGCTTATTGCAGTTATACTCAAGCTTTGCGTTTGCAATGGGAGAGGACAAAGTTTGATAAAATTTGCTTCTTTAAATTGACTAATGGTATTACACATCTACCATAGCCATAATGTTCTACCACTTCACCTAAACAATAAAGAAAAATAAATTATTACGAATTTACAAAAAATCACAAAATATTCATGACGTTAAAGACATAAACATAACTTTAAACAATCCTACTTTGACAGCTCTCATTGCGTCTCACAGTTTTTTGTTGCTGCTTAGTTCAAATTAGCTGTTTACATAAATGCATAAAAAATATAGTGCTACACCTTGTTGGTAAACTTTTGGTGGTTTTTGTATATCATAGAACCAACTGTTTTAGTTTAAACAGCTGACTAAATTTTTTTTCCCTTTAAATATGAATACTCAGAAGGTTAACATGGGGAACTACAGAGCCACTGGGGCGGAGCTCGAAAGGATTTTTGAGATGAGAATATGCCTATAATCGGGAACGTGAGCTATCATTATGCCAAATTTCAGCCCAATCCGTCTAGTGGTTTATGTGTGATTTAACTTCAAACAAACAAACAAACACACAAACTTTCACATTTATAAAATTAGTAAGATAAAATAGTAAGATAATATTTATGAAGGTGATTAGAATTAAATATATTAGAGTCATCTTTAGGATTAGACACCACATTACTATGTTAGAGTTGCACCAAATAAAAAAGTACGTAGTTAATGCAATCAACCAAGGGAGAATTGTGATGTACTTTACTGATTTTTGAGGAACTTTAAGCCAAGCCTAAGTAAAAGAACAACCATAAACTTATGGCATCCATTATTTCCCATTAAAACCATAATATCATAGTATCAAAATAAGGATCGAATAGAAATTATGATTTTGGCACACTCTTTGAACGGCTCGTTTTTAATTTTATTCCAATACACATTTTGTTACAATGGTCTATAAAAAATAAGCTGGTGAAGATATTAACAGACGATTCCACATGCAGCCCATATTCAACAAGACAACTTACAATTCAACTCAAAACAAAAGTAGTTCACCCAATTAAATTACTCGACCAGTAGGATTGTAACCGTTACAGTTTTTACCTAACGGCAATTTCGGCTAAGGGCGTCGTTACCGACTCCTCGTTAGAACCCCCGAACTAGGGGATGATCACAGAGAGGCCGCGGGTGCGTGACCAGGCACGGGAAATGGAAATCACGCACGCGTCCGGAACTGGGGCAAATACCTTGACACGTGCAAAAACATTAAACACAGGTCGGCATCGGCGACGCTCAGGGTGACGAAATAGGGATGATTATAAGGGTGTGACACTGACAAGGGTGTCTCGTTCACACTGAAACACTTTGTACAGTATTCTTGTGGGTTCTCTGGTACTTAAAAAACATGGAAGAATAGTGAAAAAAACTTCATTTGGACAATATTTTGAATAATTAATAGGGGTTTCACTATGGTGTTTACTTCGTTAAAGTATCAAATTTGTTTTTTCTTCTAATTTGTTTAGAATTATAGTAAGCAATTAGTATACACTGTGACGTTCATATCTTTTCAAACTCAGACTTGAAACATTTTTGACCACAAAACGATACATATAACTCGATTTTTTTTAAGTATATATTGTACATTTCGGAGTTATTTAAATGTTTTTGGAAATATTTACATCAACCCCCTTGGTTCCCATTGAGTCGTGACATATACGTTTTAGAACAAAATAAATAAATTACGATATTACGTTTAATAAATGCTTAATGTATCAGGATCCTAAGAGCACATACAGCGTGACTAGTTTTTTGTTAGTTACTATCTTGTTATTAGTGGTCCAATTTTTCTTTTCTTTTTGTCGATTGTTTTGTTTCATCAATAGGATGCCTATAAAATTATATGAAAGTCCTCCATACTTCCTATTTGACAATTTTGAACTACCCCCTACCAACACTACCCCTAAAGGTTAATTTAAAAAAAAAATACCCATAGTTATTGTAGCCCCTCATAACTAAGAAGGTTGCCGCAAACTTAATTCAAAAATCTGAAATAGTTAAAAAAATAAGAGGGAGATGCAAGTTACTTTTCAGCCACTCTGTATGTGACGAAACGCTTAAATAACACACATTCAAATTTTAAGTGATAAATCACTTAGTTTAGTATCGCAACTGTATAAAATTTAATTTAATTTAGTGATTACAGCTCTCATATAAATTACTTTACAGTACTACATCTCCATGGAGCCTTCGGTAATTAAATAAATACTTTATACTTAGATTTCGGGAGTTAACATGTTAAATATCCATTTGATTACCATTGTATTCCATTGACTGCATTCAAAAACATCATATTAAAACAATAAATGCTCTTTTCTTTAACTTTCAGTCTAAAATTATTCTAAATCCATTTCTACATCTTAATAATCCCTCCCGATAAATTCGTCACAGCCATAAGGGTGGCTTGATTCACCCTTTATTAGGTGAGCTATGAGACAGATATGTCTACTACCAATTTCCTCTTCACATTTGACATTTTTTCTCTTGAGATATTATTTCGGGGATCGCGCATTAGACCGCAATGGGTCGGAACTAACTTCTCGCGCGCTGGCGGGAGGCGGCACTTTGACTCACCTAGGGGTGCATTCGACGCGCTCGGGGGTGCGAACATAAAAAAGACAATGGTAATATCATAACAAAGAAATGCGCCTTTTGTCTTCGACTACAATTAGATGAAGCGGCTTCCGAAAACATGCGAAATAATTAACCCAAGAATGTTCTTGGGTGAGGATTTTCACACTTGAGATCATTTTTGTGGTTAATTGTTGCCACTTGATTAGGTCTGGCCTGGTTTTAATGTGTTTCTAAACTACGTTATGGGATTCAAATCACTTTTATCGAGTAGTATTTCGAATTCGGCTGCTATATTGTCTAACCAAAGATTTAACTTACAGTAAAAATATGGATTATTTTTAACCTAATAAACAATCAACCCTTATAAATAGTATGCGAAGCCGTTTTTATGACCACTACTGAATAACCTTTTTTTCTATAATTTTAAAATTCAAGGCATCAAATATTTTTCTTGATTTGTAGTTTTGCAATAATATTCTATATTTTAGCTAAATCTATTCAAAGATTGTTAGTCTAGCTGCATTCAGTATAATGGACCAACTATCCGTCGAAAACAAATTGAGGGTTTTTTACTAAAAACAGTATTTTGCAGTTACACTGTAATCTTTGATTTGTGTACTTTGCAAACATTTTTAACACGTGCTTCTAAAAATGCGATTCTAGTTTTAATTTTAATCTAGGTTACTTAAGACTCGTTATGCCAATAGCACTAACAACATTGACTGGTAGATGTTGTTTACAGAGAACCCTTTAGTGAAGAAGGATGTCCGAAAATCAAATGATCCGGACATCCAGGAAGCAAACTTGAGTAATTGAGTGCGAGTCGAGCCTCAATAACCCGACAACTCGAGCGGAACAACAGTAGACCTAGGAGAGCACCCTGTCACCCACCCACTCTAGTCTCCAGGCAACTTTGATGAAACCCATAGGTAGTGATTTGCACCTTGTGATCAACGTAACCAACGTTTCATTTTAATATGCAAAATAAATTGTTCTTGTTTCGTCTTAAAAATGAAATTAGAAAAATGTTAACACATTTATTTCTTGTTTGAATTTATCTCAAAACGTTATTTAGATTTCAGTCAATTTATTCTTTTTGTACATTGGAGTGGATGTTGATTTGATTGTTTCTTCAAATATCCCACAGGCCTAAAACCTACGGTTTAAGATCTTAGAAATTCTTTCATTTATTGTTTTGTTCAAATCTGTACAAATTGAATCTAAATGCTTCTCTTTGTTAGTGACAAACTATGATTTGAATTAGGCCTAAACCTGTGTTTAGCTTTTCAAAGCATTTCATGAGGTTAACGTTTAAACAAATCTGTGCATTATCCTAGCCTTTTTTATTAAGTATTGAAATAATATAAACTATCCAAATATCATTGTGACAACTAACTGTGCTATCTTAAATTATCAATTTTGAAAGAAGCTATGACTCAAAAGTTGATTCTGCCATAACTATGGTTTATTTTAAACAGTATTTAATTAAAAAAAATATATATATATTATCACTCAATCAACTATACAAATAAATTAAAATACAAATATCCCAACTTATAAGCTAAATTTTACATTTTAAAATCATTCTTTAAAAGATGGAAATCTAAAACAAATTTATCATTGTTTTATTGGCTGACATAGTTAATTACCAATCGATGAACAAAGCACATGGACATCATATCAGTAACTACATTGAGAAATTGCGCTACTAATTAAAATGCAACGCTGGAACATTCCATTGGCATCATTAACTCTTAAGAAGGATGTTATGTACCCGCCATGTAGACGTTATGTGTCGTATGTTGCGCTAACAGTGTATGTGGTTATTTAGTTTGAGATTGGCTATATGATCCATACTAAGAACTGTTCTGGCACAATTTCAGGATGGCTGCTCTACTGGCAACACTGTGTCTTCTGACGCTGGCCTCCGCCGAACCCTTCCATCACCACGTCCAACATCATCACGAGCACGTCAAAGCCATCACGGTGACCAAGAAGGTGCCTGTGCCGTACCCTGTCACCGTCGAGAAGAAAGTGCCTTACACCGTGGAGGTGCCAGTCGATAAACCGTACCCGGTCCACGTGCCCAAGCCGTACCCCGTCTATGTCGAGAAGAAAGTGCCGTACACGGTCAAGGAGTACGTCCCGCAGCCGTACACGGTCTACAAGAAGGAGCCGTACCCGGTCCAGGTGCCCGTCGACAAGCCGTACCCCGTCCACGTCCCTAAACCTTACCCCGTGGTCGTCGAGAAGAAAGTACCTTACACGGTAGAGAAGCACGTGCCGTACCCTGTAAAAGTGGCTGTGGACAAACCTTACCCTGTCCACGTGCCTGTCGTCAAGCATGTTCCGTACACTGTAGAGAAGAAGGTGCCTTACAAGGTAGAGGTGCCTGTGGAGAAGCCCATACCTGTGTCTGTGCCCAAGCCCTATACGGTCGTTGTAGAGAAGAAGGTGCCTTATACAGTAGAGAAGCCGGTGCCTTACCCCGTCAAGGTGCCTGTATATCACCCTCACCACGAGATCGGACATGGGTTTGAGCATGGACATCACCACATTTTTGGTTTTTAGATTTATTTCACTGACTGGTTTATCATGTACCTTGATATGTAATGATGTTGTAAAACCTCGTGTACAAATAAAATTAAATTTTGTTTACACATTTTTGTTCTTACTGTGTTCCGTTAGATTTATGCGCAGGTTGTTTTAAAACAATAAAAAATAAAATAAACATTAAGCAAAAAAATATAAAAATTATAAGCAAATATGTTACATTTATGTGAAAATGGTATCATTGAATGCAATAAGCTCAATAACAAACGGACATTGTTTGAAGGATAAACTTTTATCCCATATTATGTGTTAGAAGTCTTATGAATGGTGTCTTTGGTTTTACTCCTTTGTGAATTTGTGTTACAGTCTATTTGGGAAATTGTCCTTCGTCTGATTTTGCAACTTTCATTATGGTTCTCAGACGGGATATGCACACATCAGCTTATACAAATACACTTCCATCCGCATTTATTTGAATTTTTAACTGGCCTCGATCTCCACAAGTAAATTCTTACTCCTAAATCTATGTTTTTAAATCTCATGTATGTATAATTTTGCTCAAATTTACAACCAAGCCTTAAAATTTAATGTACAATTTCAGATTCAATTTTTTAAATCAGTCCACATACTCTACCTAATACCTTTAATCCTGCGGGAGAGAGTATAACCATAGATTAAACATGTATAACTGCAACCCTTGCTCTCTAACACATGTTTTGGGCCTCTTTATCACTTGTTTTGGCATACTTATCTTTCTATTATTTCTAGTTTATTTATTTTATTTTTGTTACAATGCTACAAAACAGGTTTACACTTACTTACAAAGTAGCATAAATGCTATCAAGAATTATTTAACATTCATAATGAATATATCTTAACTAATCTCCTCCAAGTGGTTCTTGGTCTGCCCTTTTTAATTCCCTGTGGGTTTCGGTGCAGAGCTTGCCGGCTAAATTGTTTTAACCCTCCCTATTCAGTCATTCCTTATTCTTTTTAGTGTTGTTTTTTACTTTGTCTAGCCATCGGATGCTGAAGAACTGTTAGACTCCGGTGCGTGGTGAAGAGCCACGACCTTCCTGTGGTTGTCATCAGTACGGTAGACCCAGTAGATCTAGACTAGGAAGTAAATTAATATATCTGGGGGTGTACAGCAGCAATGCCTGTAGTGTTGTGGTATGGAAAGGAAGATGCTAGGAATCTGATGTCCCCATCATTGATGTTTGGTTAAAGGTTTAATCATTTTTTAGGTTTAGGTTTGGACGGTAGGGGGGACGTGGGAAATTAGTATTTTGGGTTGGAGGGGGCAAAATGTGTTATGTACAAACGCGTTTTACATTAATTAATTATTAGAGATCGTCGATGTTCAGTAGATAATTTTATAACTCATTACTGGTTCTGATGCACTGGCCTTTAAGTTTCTATGTGGGGTTTTGGAGACGAAATTCTATCACCAGCTTGTGCTAGTACGTTTCATAGTTTACTAAGTTGCCCTTCCTATTTGGATTGGTAAATAATTAATTGTGTATAGAACAGAAATCGGCAACTAGCAGCAGCCCACTTAATTCAACAGCGTTCATTGTGATTATGATACTAAATCTTGCTACAATTCTAATATGGGAATGGAATGTCTGATATATGATTTCAATCATAAACATTTCCTCAACGCTATTATTGTATCGTGTGTTGTTTTTCTATATCAAGTTCGGTAATATAAATAATGCTTTTGCTATGTTGTCTAATTCAACATGTTTAAAAAAAATGTAACCAACAGTAACACATATTTAATTCAAAGTCATCTTAACGATCATGATATTTCATTAAGCTCAATTTTGGAGGGTAAATTGATCAGAAAAACATCAGGATTTTAGTATAGAAAAACAAAAATGGTTAACCAGTCTGTGAAATGATTCTAAAACCCAAAGCTGTGGTGATATCTATGTTCCAGCACATGTCCAATCTTGTGGTGATGGTGATATACAGACACATGGACAGGCACCATTACGAGGTAAGACACCTTCTTCCCCCCACTACCTTTTCGGAATTAATTGTCACAAAAATGACAACTAAACAAAAACATAATTCATAAGACCACAAACAAATTTTGATTTAAAATTCCATCATTCAAAGTGCATTTCCTTCGAGTGTGTCGGTGGCTCAGTGGTAGGGCCACAGACTTCGGGCCCAAGGCAGCGACGTCGTGGAATCGGATCCTGGTCACTACCATCATTTATTAAAGGAGTAGTGTTTATTCATTAATATATGCTGTCACTGATTTTATTCAGTACAGTTCACCCTTGTAATATAGCAGCTCACCCCTTGCTTTGATGGATACATTCCAGCAACAGATTCGTAGCCTATGTGGACGGGTGGGCAAATCCAAGATTTGAAGAGGCCATCAACCTATATAAAAATGTGTTTCTCGTTGAATTTATTGAATTCCTTGAAACAATGTTCACAAGAAATTTTTTTTATGAAACATGGGCTTATAACTAATGGAAGACTTCAAGTTCAAAATTTCTTAAACAAAACATTGATTTTATTTGTACACAAGGTATTACTACTACATCTTTACATATATTAAATTGGATTTAAAACCCAAAGCTGTCATGGTATCCATGTTCAAACCCATGTCCAATCTCGTGGTGATGGTGATATACAGGCACATGGACAGGCACCTTGACGGGGTAAGGCACCGGCTTCTCCACTGTATAAGGCACCTTCTTCTCCACAACGACCGTATAAGGCTTGGGCACAGACACAGGTACGGGCTTCTCCACAGGCACCTCTACCTTGTAAGGCACCTTCTTCTCTATAGTGTACGGCACATGCTTGACGACAGGCACGTGGACGGGGTAAGGTTTGTCCACAGCCACTTTTACAGGGTACGGCACGTGCTTCTCCACCGTGTAAGGTTCTTTCTTCTCGACGACCACGGGGTAAGGTTTAGGGACGTGGACGGGGTACGGCTTGTCGACGGGCACCTCGACCGGGTACGGCTCCTTCTTGTAGACCGTGTACGGCTGCGGGACGTACTCCTTGACCGTGTACGGCACCTTCTTCTCGACATAGACGGAGTACGGCTTGGGCACGTGGACCGGGTACGGTTTATCGACTGGCACCTCCACGGTGTAAGGCACTTTCTTCTCGACGGTGACAGGGTACGGCACAGGCACCTTCTTGGTCACCGTGATGGCTTTGACGTGCTCGTGATGATGTTGGACGTGGTGATGGAAGTGTTCGGCGGAGGCTAGCGTCAGAAGACACAGTGTTGCCAGTATAGCGGCCATCCTTGCTGTGTGCTCTACTGGATGTTTGGATGTGGTTTTATATTCAGCAATTATGAAAGAAGTGTTTCCAGTTTGTTATATAATCTTCATGTATTACGCTGAATCATATGTAGCTTAATGAATGACTGCATACAGACCGTGCTTTAATTAATTAGAGTAGTAGTCATTTTGTACGTTCTAGGACAGAGGAGGGAGGAGTGTAGACCACGTGGGTTGAGGTAGGTAACCTCACTTTGCCTAACCTAACCTAACCTTACAGGCAGAGACTGATCCTCTGATTTGGACGACTTTACAGAAACGACAACAACTTTTGAATCTCATTTTATATAGGACCACCAATAGGTTCTCAACTGCACAAAAATGGCGCCGATTGCATCATTCGGTGCTCATGTTTTCACTAGAGGATTTGTATGAAGATGCAGTATTTCGATCTCAATGTATACTGACACGCCATTTGAAACTCACGTTCTAGGACAGAGGAGGGAGGAGTGTAGACCACGTGGGTTGAGGTAGGTCGGGAAGGGAGGTGTGTCCATGACGTCACATGTAAACAGAGGATGATCTTACAGTCAGAGACTGATCCTCTGATTTGGATGACAATTTTTTTTTGTGTAGATATAAAGAACGTTAAATCAGTTCTCATTTGGTATACTTGTCGTATAATAGGATCTCACGGCTGAGATCGAAAACGACAATAGCTTTTGAATCTCATTTTATATAGGACCACCAATAGGTTCTCAACTGCACAAAAATGACGCCGATTGCAACGTTAAATCAGTTCTCATTTGGTATACTTGTCGTATAATAGGATCTCACGGTTGAGATCGAAAACGACAACAGCTTTTGAATCTCATTTTATATAGGACCACCAATAGGTTCTCAACTGCACAAAAATGGCGTCGATTGCATCATTCGGTGCTCATGTTTTCACTAGAGGATTTGTATGAAGATGCAGTATTTCGATCTCAATGTATACTGACACGCCATTTGAAACTCATTGTTTTCATGTTGATTTTTACGTGTCTTCTGAGTTGAGTAGTTCCGTGTTTAGTGACGTCACTTGTCTTGGGATCATGTGATCATGGAATGTTCTAGAAACATTACCATAAAAGGAAATGCCACGTGATAGGTCACGTGATCATCTTGGAACGTTCGAGAACATTACCATATATGGTCATGTGTTTCGACGATTGTGCAACAGCCCGCGCGGTCTTGCGTCAGTCTTCTCTGAGAGGTGGTTGTGAGAGGTGCTATTTTTCGAGTCTTTGAAATTGTGTAGTGCGTGAAAAGTAAGTTTTCAACCATTTATAAGTGTGACGAGGATTTGCGGTGATGGCTAGTGTCAGTGCTACGAAGCGATCGTTTCCTAGTGACAACGAGAGTGATGACGACAGCCTTCCTACACCACCGAAGCGTCGTTGGTTCCAACGTTATAAAGACGATATTGAGGAACAACAAGGTGCTAGGGAAGAACACCGCTTGGATGTTGCCTCGGTCTCTGACGGAGAACATCATGTGTCACCGGTTGTTCAAAGTGCTACCAAGCGGTCGTTTCCTACTGACAACGACAGTGATAACGAGACCCGTCCTATATCACCGAAGCGTCGTCGAGCCCAACATAGTGAGTTGGATATTTCGGAACAACTACAAGGTGCTAGTGAGATGATGGACATTCAAGAGCAGGAAGAAGATGTTTCGGATGTCGTGCAGGTTCTACCTGTCAGGAGAGCCGATACAAAAACATTAAAGTTCTGTGATATATGTCACCTCAGTATTACTAGGAAAAACTGGGCCCGTCATACTGGGAGTGGAGCTCAC